CTTGTTGTTGAAAAAGCTCCTTATATCCGTTAGCGCAGCTAGCTAGCACCAGATGCTAACAACAACAATACACGTAACCAGTGCGAGCGCTTTATCTCACTCGCTCGCGCCACACACACACACCCTCCCGAGCTTGAATGACACACAGAGACCAATCGAGGGCATTAGTATGATCTGTATGAAAGTGGCCATGTCGGCAGGCCACATCATGTAGACAGCCAGTCACCCTCTGTGAGGCAGAGTCAGACCCACATTTGCGCAGCATTGCGTTCACAATACATACATAAAAAAAAAAATCCTCAAGCCAGCAGGCCAGGCCATCGGGAAACCTCCCGGTGCTCCCGATGGCCAGTCCGGGCCTGATGGGTGCTGACTGACTGTTTGATGCCGCCTGAGCCTCACCAGTCAATGCTGAGCTGGCATCAATCAGGATTGGAGCTTAAAGTGAGATGTTTTACATAAAAACATCACACCAACAATAATACACACACTTTTATGTTGTTATCTGTCTCCAAAGTACCTTTGCTGTCAACCACATTTATTCATTATATACAAACCCAGCCATTTTGTAGAGCAATCAAAAGTCTACAGTGAAAGCTGGGAAAACAACTACATTTATCTTGCATCCTCAGGGAAATAGTTCCCACTTGATAGGAATTCAATGAATTGAGAGAGAATCCCATTGCCTCGGTTAGCCCCTGCTTTAATGTTCTCAGTGATGCAATTCCCTCGTCTGCATGCCTCTATATATTAACCCAGAGTTTTGTTTACCTAGCAATGTGTGCAGCGGCTATGAATGATTAATATACTCCCTCACAGTGAAGTGCGGTGAGGTTCATGGCTGATGAGGCACTAACTCTTTCAGAGTCAGATTTACAAATATTATATTTTGACCTTAATCTAAATGTTCGGTTATTTTCAAAAGCTTTTTTAGTCTGATGCTTTGATTCATTTTAAACAGACTGTTCAACAAAAGGATACCCACAATCTAAATATTGGATTGTTCTTTCTTAGTAAGATCCCATGTTCATTACAATTGTGGTCTTACCTTGACTTGAAAATGAAGTCCATGCTATCCTTCTGGACAACAATCTCCATTACATTTTTGTAAAAGTCCTCCTTATCTTTCTCTAGTTTCAAAAGTCTAGCTTGTTGTTTGCGTCTGGGTAGAATAACAGTAGCAACAAGAACCTGTGGGCTCACGTGCGCCCCCTTCAGTGCGGCAGAGGTTATGGCTGCCTCCCCTGGTGCTTTTTTCATTGCCGTTGTACGATGAGACCAGCGGGCCTAAATATCATATATACGTGAAATAAGTTATTTAGAGACTATGGATGGCGAGGATAAATGTAATAAAGGGATCTACAAACATTACATTGGTGACCTACAGTGAGATGGTGCAGGCATGCGCTTAGGGCCCGCTTTCCAGCCAGTTTCTGTGGGGTGACGCATTCTGAGGTGAGGCAGAGCTCATCTGTGCCTCATCTCACCACACAGTAACTGGCTTGAGCGCGCTCACAAAATAAGTGCTCGCGCTACATTAGTGCCCGCGCTCCAGCCAGTTACTGTGGGCTTACGTGAGGCAGAGCTCGTCCTGCCTCACTTCTCATCGCTCCCATGTAGGAGTTGGGGGACCCTGATGTAAACAAGACGAAAGTCTTTCTCTGATCTGCATCCCCTTAACAATTGTATGTTTTGAGCTGTACTGTACTGTACCCAATATACAAGCTGTTAATAAATGTTCAATCAATCAATCAATCAAGTTGTAGCGGAGCTCGGCCAATATGCTGATTTTGACTATAAAAAGCGATTGGAATCATACAGAAATCACACTTACAACACAGATCAATGGAGACATGTTATTATTATTATTACTATTTAGTTTTTCTTTAGTTGTTTTTCCGTTACATTGGAGTATGACAGGTGAGGCTCTGCCTCCCCTGACTGCACGTCGCTGCTCCCTCAGTGCTATAAGCCTTAAGAATGAGCAGGGGTCTATGTGTTGGAAAAAGCTGACAGTTTCAGATAATGGGCCGGGAAAAATAAATGAGTAGGAGACAAAAGTCTGCAAAAATGACACTCTGTTGGTGTTTTTCTTGTCTTTTTCTATCTTTGGGTTTCCTGTTTTATTTTGTAAAGTGTTCACCCCCGTTTCCTGCCTGTTTGCTTTCTGTCTGTTTCCCTCCCCGATTACCCGATTGTGTTCACCTGGTACCTCTGTGTTTTCTCCTCCCTCCTCACCTGTCTCGTGTTTATGTGATTAGTCCTGGGTGTATTTAAGTTCTGGGTTTTCTGTCTCTCTTTGTCGGGTTGTCTTTTGTCATGACTAGTTCGTCGGTGAGTGTTCTGTTCTGTCTGTTATCACCTAGCCTTGAAATAAAGGAACTTTCACTTTAATCTGCATTTGGGTCCTACCTGCTTCACACACCGTGACACACTCACTAGAATCAGTGATGGATTTTCTTTGAACAAACAGATTTAAAGTCAGATTATGGAAAAACGCAACAACTAAAAGCTAGGTTTCCACACATTCCAAAGGGATATTCATTAAGCCCATTGTTAAGACCTGAGGTCAGTTCTGAAGGAATGAGTCAGGAAGTAGGGATAGTATGCCAAATTAAATGGGAAACTGGAACCCAAGCTCCATCTTTAAAATGGCTATTTTAGCATTTGGCAAATGGGTGTCTTGGACTCCAATGTAACAAGTGTCATTTCCTCACCAGCACCTAGTCAATTAAAAATAATTAGGCAACCACCTGTGTATCTGTGAATAAGGTAATATTGAAAAATAAGCATCAGGAGGTACTAATAAACCAATGGCTAATTAAATTGTTATGTTGTAGTTATTTAAGTTAGTGTAGTGAGTAGTCCAATATGTATTCTCCTTTTAGCTGTTTTTAGTATGCACACAATGCTGAACCAAATTCCTCTTTCTAAATTGTCTACCGTTTTGTGCTGAGCACCAAGCGTTATTGCTAGCAGGTAGCAGCTGCCTGCTGAAAACGTTTGAAGAGCAATGATGGTAAACCAACACAACAAGCTGAAAGATAATAACATGCTCCATACAGCTGAGTGAAATAACTCTGGGGTGATAGTTATAACTAAAAATGACTATTCACACTAAATGTAGTAATTTAACACAACAAAGGCGATAGCTGATTAATGTCCAGGTTGAGCGGTTATCAGGTTAATGAAGTTGTTTTTATATCTACATCGTCATTATAACCATATAGTTTGATACATTCTACGGCAGCTTGTTATCATTAGCTCACACAGGTGTAGATGTAGGACAGAAATCTTTATGCTTATACAATAATTCATTCAAATGAATGATTCACCCTGTGGCTATACCACAAGGCACATAATAAGTAATGAGTACATTGGAATCGAAACAGCTTGTCTTTTCAAACATCTCTCACCCCATATATTAACCTTGGACTAAATGTATTATCTGTGATTGTATGTGTTAATTTCCTTGGTTTTCTCTACTCATCTGTATATTGTCTGATTGTCTTGTTTCACTCATCATTATTTTATGGTTTACTGGGCAGTAAGATAACAGGACCATACAAATATTTGATCCATAATGTGAGGATTTTTTTTCATTCTTGCTCTCAACTGTTAAACTAAGTAGCATTTCAAATGAGAGTTTCAAGGGCTCAAGCATCATTTAAGCACGTTTCACCAAAAATCAGCACAGAGCCATTTCCTCCTATTCTCAATTCTATTCTGAGCCGTTTCCCTTGAGGTGCGAGCCCAATTATTGGCCCTCTAGCACAGGAGCAGCTGCTCAAATTGTCACATGACCTCAGCACATAGTCCCGTGTCACATGTCTTCACACTGCATTAGGAATAAAAGTTCACACATTGGAAATATGAGCAGATTGTGCTGTCTGTTAGTGGGTGCTTTGTAAGGCTTCATCAGTGTTGCTCAGTCTTGTGTTACTGTGCCATTGATACATGCCTTACATTTGTCATATTTAATTCATGTGATGTTTAGGTATTCTACATCGAGAGCTCTCTGAAAGGCCCTATAGCAGAGTATGCCAGAGGATCTATTTAATATGAACAGTCCAGTCAGCGATAACATTGCTGTTATTTGAGATTTCGAACACTGTGCAGAAGTGATTGTTAAACATTGCCGGAGGGAGAGGGGATCAATGCAGCATCAGAGAAGCCACCGAGCTCGGGCCTCAGCGAAAACCATCGATACCGAGCTGGGTTCCAAGCACTTAAAATGTAAATGCATCTTCAACAGCCACAACACGAACAAGAAAGTTGTATCAGTGTCTTGGGATCTCTCCAGATGCAATGTGGGCATTCATCTGTGACATCAAAATCTCTGCACAGAGGCCCAGGTGCCTGATATTGGCACGTTCTGGCTTTCCAGTGGTGCATTGCAACAAAATAAAACAGATGCTGACCATACACTCCCTGTCAAACATTTCTATACTAAAAAATCACCAGTTTCCTCTTTGAGCCCTATATATCATGCTGGTATCATTTGCATGTTTTTTAATGCAGTGTCCTTAAGTGACATCCTTCCTGCAGTCACAGGAGTAATGAGACTCTTGGTGTGCTCTAGAAACCTGTTGAATGAACGCTAAGTGGGGAATTATTGAAATGGCACAAGGTGTCTCCTTTGATCTCAGCAAATGTACGTGATATAAATATCTTCAAATTCATTATGCATGCACAGTGGGACTTGCTAGATCCACAGATTTACCAAATGTATGACTGCCCTTCCCAATTAACCACTACTTCAATATGTTCTCAATTCAATTCAATTCAAAACCTTTATTTATCCAGGTAAAATCCCATTGAGATCAATGATCTCTTTTTCAAGGGAGACCTGCAGAAGTTCTACATTGTTAGTCAACAATCTCAAAGGCTTGTTAGCGAAAACGCAACAATATATTGTTTAGTATATTATTGTTAATTGCAACTTACAAAACGAAGTAGACTTGCCAGGAATCACTTAAATAATTTGACGTAAAGACATATTTATGTTAAAGAAGCCAAAAATCCAACATTCGTTTTTATTTGGAACAGTCCGAGAAAACAGGCAATATGAAGAGTAGTCCATAAAGATTTACTTTTAAAAGGCTTTTTTTCTTATAGAGGATGCAAAAGAGACAGTAATATATACTAGTAGCAATTAAGGTCACTGTAATCGAACATAACTCTTGCAGAGTTCATGGTCCCTGATATCTCCCCATCCCCCATTTTTCACATGTGGGGCCACCCCCCCGGCTCCGTTGGCTGGCAGTCTCTTTGTTATCAGGAGGTTCTTTGGGAACAACTGGTTCCCGCTGCTCTGGAGGATGTTATCTATCTTGGTTTTCTGGCTTATGGGCATGCAAGCAGTCTTCTTGTGGTGCATGCCGCAGTCCCCGGCGTGGAAAACCCGGGGCGCCTCACTGACCATCACCTTCCAGTAGGAGGGCAGGCAGGACACCGTCAGGTGCTGTAAGGACCAGTCCCAGTTGTAGTCGTCATAAGTGCAGAACGTGTCGGTGCATTTGATGAGCTTCTGGTACGTCTCTCTACTCAGAGCCATCCCCATGTTGTGCTCGGTGGACTTCCAGGCCTTCACCTCCACCCTATTCGCTTTGCTGGAGTAGCCGATGTGGCTGTAGCTCCCCAAGGAGAGGATGTCACAGTCTGGACACTGCTCCCTCTTGAGAGACGACATGAGCTTTAAGAGATGGATAAAGTCTGGGGACACGTAGTGGTCCTCCTCGATCAGCAGGACCATGCCCTTATGGTCCTTCAAAACCCGGACTCGGTCCCACACAAAGTGCAGCTTCCACCACCAGTGGTGCTTAGTCTGGGAGAACTTCGCCTCGCGGTAGTGGCCAAATGAGTCAGGGTACTCCGCGTTGATGCATCCCAGCTTTAAGGCGTCATTTTTGGGAAGGTCTCTAGGGCAGTCCTTAGGGTCGTGTCCGGGGAACTCTTCGGGGTACAACTGGATGCTGAAGGGGAAGAAAATCTGAAGTACCTGACAAAAGTCAACAGAGGCCACCACTTCATTTATCTCGGGAGACCAGTAGTCATGGCTGAATATCAGCAGTATGTGCTCCACCCCTCTGACCTTCTGCAAACTGTCCACTAATAGCTTCAGGTAATCCGGTCGATTATGGACCTGAACCACCACAACCAGATCGTCCTTCTGTCGAACCGCCTTAAACTTTTCCTCATTTCTTATTGTCTGGTCAAAGTTGAGCTGGAAGACAATGCTGCGGTAGACTAAAGTTGTGTTATCCGTCTCCAGCTTGGGTATCTTCTCTTTTTCCTTTGCTTTTTCTTGGTGTGTGTCATTTGCATGTATAATGGGGGGTGGGGCAGGTGCCTTGCTGACCGCAGCGGTGGCTTGCACCTGGATATGATTGTTGATGCTGCTGCTGCTGCTCACGCTGCTGCCTTTCCTCACCGTCTCCACTTCCTTGGGGAGCGGCCCGCTGTCGCTCTTCTTCTGCCTTCCACTGCTCCAGAAAGCTAGGCCACAGATAACAACCACCACAGTCAGTATCACCACCTTCCTCTTGTAGATTCGGAATCTCATGATAGGGGGTCAGCCTCTTGCACAGGGAGAGAAGTTGCAGGGAAACAAAAAGCCCAAATTTGCAATTGTGATATTGTGCTTTAAAAGGGGAGCAAGCCTGATTAGAAATAAGCTGATATGAGGCTAATAGTTGGCAAAATGAAGGGTTGTTGTAAACATGGGTCCCACTGGAATGTCATTGATGCTGGATGATTGTTCCATAAGGCATGGCGGTAGCTGGGAGGCAGCAGGGTAGCAGTGTGCATGAACCACCTAAATGAAAAATAAATCAATCAATACAGTCTGGTGCATAGAGGCAGTTAAGGCTGAGCAATATGGCACATGTATGCAAATTACAATAAGAAACATGTAAAATAGAGAAAATAATCATATCAAAATTGTACAGAATCTAGAACTAAAACGCACAAGTAAACAAATCATCCAATTTATGAATTATCAAAGTGTTTGTGATTAATTGTCTGTGTATAAAGTACCAGACTAGGCTAATTGTTTCAGCTGCACAACTCAGCGACTTCCATTTGCTAATGACAACCTCGAGATGCATTGGAAACCTTGTCGGAGCAAAACAAAATCCGATAAGTAATTTTGTTAGATTTCAATTTAGACAGCAGAAATCTGCTCTAATGGAAGCACACTTACAGCAATAGAAATTATTTAATTTCCCATAACAGGACAAGTCACTATGAAAAAGTATCACTAAACCACATGCATATTAAAATGCATTACTGCTGATGCATCTGTTCCTCTGAAGTTATATCATCAATGTTGATTAATTCTCCATGCTTCTTTATGTTCCTCTGCATAAATCTCTGTCCTCAACTGCATTATCAATATTGATTACCCCTCTCTGCTGAACAAACCTCCATCTTTTCTTTGTTATTAAATTAGTGGGCTTCCTGCGTGAACCTTGTATCTGTATGCGTCTTCTCCCCTGCCTATTTAACTGAATGGTCACTGCCTTGCACTACCGGCATTGTATATCTATTAGAGTCTATGATAATGATGATCAATACATTTCAGTTTGCTACAATAAAACTCAAAGTAAAACAATAAGCATGCACTTTAAACATGTACTTTATCTATGCATTTATGGCTGATTAAATGGCAAAGCTATCTGACCCATATAGCTGATGTACATGACTCTATACTATTTTCTCCGTTTAATGGATTCCATACAGTTGAAGCTCGCCAAATGAAGTGAATCGTTTGTTCTGCAGCTAAACAGCACTTCCGTTTTTATCGCTCGTATGTGTTATCTTATAACCTGAACAGCTTTTAATCGAAAAAACAGTGTCTATACATCTTATTGCCTTCTCTACTAAATGTATTTTTTAATGGAAGCCTTCTTCACATGAGTTTGTCTGTCCTGAATTGGCCGCTGTCAGACACACCGAGCCAACGACAGCTTATCGATTTGAACACGATATAACGTTACCTTTATTTCACCGACTGATAGGAAACACTCTCAACTAAAAACAATGTTGTCGTCGCAGCTTCCCTCTTTTTACTGCGAGCATCCTGGAAATGCTAAATTAGCTTCAGCTAGCAACTTACAGGCAGCCCGACCAAACGGCGTCAACAACAGCGTCCATGGCGAGCCACAACAACCGTGTTCACACTGCTTACCTCAAACGGGAGTATCCGTGCGGTCCTTTCAGTGAGAAACATCAGCACGGTGGCGTCCCATTTTCCTCCGCACCTTCATGGAAGCTGCACGGAAACGTAACTACCAGCTAGCTGTACAAATCCCAAATACGGAACCAACCAGTGCCTGCCGCTGTCCCACAATGCACTGGTCCAGAGGGGGGCACCCAAGACACCCTACATATCATATATCCCTGCTGCTGACAGTGTTTCTCATCATAGGGGAGATGGTTTACTATACCTTTAAAAGCTTAACAAGTTCATACTAGGTCCTATTATAGAAATGTTCACGGAAAATCCACACTAAACTGAATTTTGTATATAGTCTACCTGAGATGGAAACGATGGCATCATTACTAGTGTAAGTGATAGGATGATTATTTTGTGTAAAATTCATACTGACTGACTATTACTTTATCCTGTATACTGACACTATACAAATAAGAAATTAATTTGTGTCATATTGTATATTATTCATATAAGCTTTGTCATTTAAACTCCTGAACTTTTTAAAGAACATCCATAAACATTCATCTGTTTGCATCTTGCACATTATTTATCTAATATCATATTCCATTTACTTGTATATAGACTCTTCTTATTTTATTTGTATTTACTTGCACATCTCAAAACATTCTCTTGCACTATTTTATCTGTTTTAACTGTTCTATGTACTAGATATATTCATGTTGCACTTTTGGAGGAGCCTGTGACTTAAGTTTTTCATTGCCATATCTATACTGTAGCTAACGTGCAAATGACAATAAAGCCTTGAATCATTAGACACAAGTTTAAAAAAATGATGATTACGTTTGGGAAACATTAAATATCACAATTGCATAGCAGCCTACGTGGTACATAAACACATATATGAACTGACAATGTCTGTACCAAAAATGTACAACCTTGTCCACTTCTGGCAACAATTTCTTTAAATGATACACTCTCTTGTTGGTGATACTCTTTTAAAAATACATGAATACTTCTTCAATATGATGTAACACCAAAGGGTAGTCATTAAAAAAATATTGCTGAATATTTCACAACAGAAATGTGGCAAAATAAGGTCAACACTGTTGTGTGTGTCGAAGAAAATAAAGAGACTCATTTTTTGGGGGCTTAATCACCAATTATATTAGCTCTAGAAAACAACAGTTTCAAAAGTGCATGGTATTGTCTTTCACAGAATACTGTCGAATTTCAGTTTGGTGGAAAACAAGTATCAAATATATTTGTTCCAAATTAGCCCTACTTACAGTAAGAAGGTGTAAACGTATGAACGTACGTTTAGTTTTCCCCCTAAAATGCCTTTTGTTTATCCAGTTAACCCAATTTTCACAACAGAGCTTCAGTATATGACATTCTTAGCTATTTAAATGGCCAGTGCACTAAATGCCTCCTCTGTGTTTGCTGTAACGCCACCTCCAGGCCATTACACTCCTCTCTATATGCAGCAGTTTTCTCCATCACGAGAGGGCGCCAAACAAAAACTCCACAGCCGGAAACACGTAATCTGAAAGCTTCATTTGCGCACGCGCACCCCTTATTCTTCCTTTCCGACGCTCGAGCGAGAGAGACAAGATGGGCCATCAGCAGCTCTATTGGAGTCACCCCAGAAAATTCGGCCAGGGATCCCGATCCTGGTCAGTTTTGCCTTAAACGTATCATTTATCAATATATGTGCTAAAGCGGGGCAGTTTTGAGGTATTTGTAGCTTCCCATACTTTAGAATTTATCACCAAATGTCCACCGCATGGGAGCTCCTGTCGAGCCAATATGGCGGTAGAAGGATGCCCCGTGCTAACCTGTTAGCACTAGCATTTTGTTAAGTCAGCCTCACCTCGTTTCTGAAACAATACAACTCATAGAAATATATAAGAGGGCTAATATGTTCAAATTGAGTTCTGGGAAAGTTTCTCGTTAACTTTCTTAATTTGTAATATTGCTAACTATATGCTATAGGAGCTTACACCGTTCAATGATATTAGCAGTGATGCACACCAGCTTTGCTGAGTCTGTATGAACTTCCGCACCTCTAGTTGTGTGAAAGAATGTTAGTAAAGGATTATGTTACCTGGTATTTTGAATATAAGCGAATTAACCCCATATTCTTCTGTATTTCAGCCGGGTTTGCTCGAACAGACACGGTCTTATCCGTAAATACGGGCTCAACATGTGCCGCCAGTGCTTCAGGCAGTACGCTAAAGACATCGGCTTCTGCAAGGCAAGTATTATTATGCTTTATATCTAATTTGAGAGGTAATCCAAATGTTATCATTATCCGATAATGAAAAAAAGTAAAGTTACAGGCTCAATGTAAACAAAGTAAATGCTACTGCATTGAAGGTAAAGCACAATAAATAATATAAATATGTTGGACTGTATATTACTAGTGTCTTAATTTCTCTTATTGTCTTGTTTATGCTGCTGCCACGCAAATATTTCCCAAATTGCGATCAATCAAGTACTTGTCTATCATTTACTGAAACGTTATATATACATCTTGCTTGTACCGCACTACAAATGCAATGAATGATGGGTCTTAATATCCAACAATGTGGACTACATATTCTGTACACCTGACTAATGAGTTGCTTCCTTTATTTTCCCACAGCTGGACTAAATGTCACGTCCTAGGATGGGTTCAGTCATCTCTGGAAGGCTGGCCGAGATGGGATAATTAGCACTGCAAATAAATGTGTTCTTTTGACCAAACTAAATCTTTTGTGGTGGTTCTTTCTGTACACATGTCAGTGACGTTATAGTCAGGAAAGATGGTTCTAAATAACACACGTAACAAAGATTACCCAGTTTTTATTGGTAGACAAAGACATTCACTTACAAATGGTTATATCTTAATACAAACTAAATTGGCCTTCTGTGATTTGCAATACTTTGATACCATGGCAATATTTAAGTCATCGCTAGAGAAACAAAAAATAATAATATAAATGCTGTTGACACCAGTGGTAACTTCCAGATGTCTTTGGATGCCAAACCCATGTTGAAACTAAAAGGCTATATTTTGTTGAGTATCATTTATCAGAATACCTTTATTCGTTTATAGAGGGGAAATGTACATTGTGACAGCAAAAGCGAAGATGGACATACAAATAAAACACTATTAGAAAGGGCATGCACATATTTTACATTAAAGACCGACTCTTAAAGCAACATTTGAGACCTGTTTTACAAGAAATGAGAAGTACAATTAGCAATTGTCTGAATATATGTTTATCTTTGTACTAAAGTATTATCAGCCAAATGTAGGAGAGACCAGGGACAGTTGCAAACTTTTTGGGATTTTCCCCAATAAGTAAAAAACCATTTACAATAGGATAGCCATTTTGCTATATTATACATTATCAATATGTCAGCTACTGAAACGATGTATTTAAGATCTTTTTATGAAATAAGTACAGGGTTAAAAAAAAAAATCAACTGTCCTTGAGTACAGGGACAGTTGTAACACATGCCAGGCATGGTTGTAACATGTTAATAACGGTTACCTTTTCAACACTACATGACAACAAATAGGGAAAGCTGTCAAATTCTAAGGCAACAAGATTTGAATGGGGTTTCACACATCCCTCCATCAAACAATGAGCAATGAACATGATAACAGATAACACACACAGCATCATCCTCTGTGAAGGATTAAACTGTTCTCTGAGAGGTGCTTCTAGCTTAATTATGTGGACCTGCCTCCTTTGAGCTGAGACCATAATATAAATCAGCTGCCTCCATCAGGTAGTCTCTCAAAAGCATCTCCTGCTCTGTTGAGAACACCTTCTTTGGTGTCCAGTAGCCTACTCTTGGGGGTGTTTGTGATCCCTGACTCTCCAACCTCAGCCTCTTTGTATGGAACCGGTACAGGGTGACATGGCATATATCCAGGGACTTTGCCACTTCCCTGAATGATTTGCCCTTCTCAACTTCATTTGAGGCTCTCTGCAGCAGAGCAAGTGGCACTCCCCTGTTTGTCTTCCTCTTTCTGACATGTGGCATACTGTAAACACACGCATACACTTTAGGCCTAATGTACAGTATTTTATTCTGTTTATTTGTACAGGGACAATGCACACCAATCAACAATACAACTGTATGCTTGAATGAACAATTGATCATTCAAGCAAATGAGCCATCATTGTAAATGTGCCATGTTACAACCGTCCCGTTACAACCGTCCCAGGACCACCAGTCTTGCTTGCACCCCCTGTGAACCTACCTGGTTGCTAGCTTGACCCATATTTAGCTAGTTATATTTTTAGCTTACAAAACAGTGATTCTAATAATACTAGTTTGGATTCCTAGACATTTGAACTCAAGACAGTATCCAAAAAATACATCATAATTTTAGTTAATATTTTATCTCAGAAACACACTTTTACTGATATCTTATGCGAGAAATTCAAACGTGGCTCCTTTTTTTCTCAGCGATCTTACCATCTAACTGCGCATGTGCAGAGTGAGTTTCATCACTCTAGCTTGTTTGTGATTGGAGATATTGAAGGTGTTACAACCAACCCTTGTTACAACTGTCCCTGGTCTCCCTACTGTAAAAGCAAATGAGCATTTTCATGTAATTTAGTTCCTACATTTGGAGCCGATGTTGGTACTCAATACTAATGGGTAGATGAGTAGTATAGTACTGCATCATTACATTAAAGCATCTTGTCAAAGTAAAATGTAAGCACATAAGATCTTTGGAGTAGAAGTAGCATTCAAGGATTATTACTGTTGAAATTATAATTAAGAATAGTACTTGGTGACATTCCACCACTGGAAATGTCCAAGCACAACTGATATCTGCTGCTGTACATAATTATAAGCGGCACAGCAGTAAAGAGCCATGGATTAATTTCTAAATCAGCATGTATTCACATGATAGTCATGCCCCTATCCAGAATTGGCGAGATGCTGAGATATTAGTCTTGGTCAAAAATAGGGAAATTTGATGGGCTCCCAGTTGTGTGGCCCATTGCTCGGTGCATTCCATATTCGGCTACGACATTTTAAATATTAAGCTCAGCACTAACATGGCTAACAATTTGTTGTATAATTTCTCAAATCTGTTTTTAACGATACAATCAAAGATGCATCATGGCATGTGGGACTCTGATAGACCAGTGTGGATTTATTCAAATATGTCATTTT